GATCACAGATGTGAAGGAGGCCAAGGTTTTTTTTTTGGGGGGGGGAGTGGAAGGGTGAGAGTCACACTCAACAACACAAGCTGAGCAAAGAGGACTTGATCACAGATGTGAAGGAGGCCAAGGTTTTTTTGGGGGGTGGGGGTAGATGTCTGAAAGGGTGTTACAGTTCAGGAGAGTTGTTTTAGTCATTCTCTTTTTAAATATATATATATGCTTAGGGCCTGCTTTCTAGTGTTTCTTGTTTCTTGGGGGGTTGTGTATATGTATGCAGGGGTTAATTTACTACCTCAAAATTGTAAGAAGCAATGTCTCCATGTTTCTGATTTTCAATAGAGACTAATTATCAAAAGGTTGAGAGGTCCTAAGGGCATAGGGGAAGTGAAGTGAAGATAAAAAAGAGAAGCAGCTGCCCTCAGGACAGAGCAAGTATAAATCAGAGGTAGACATAATATTAGAAATAACTCTGTAAACCACATCATAAATATTGTTGCTGTGACTTGTTTGATGAATCTGTAACCAAAAGTATGAGCCAGAAAGCAATGTTTTGCCCTCAAAAAGGATCAGATTAAAACCATGATGCTGCAAAGTGATCAGGGTGGGATTGGCACCTTTGTCTTCCATATACAAATCCAGTCACCTGTCTTTCTCGCCTCCCCTGCCTCTCTTCTTCTCTCCTGTGGGAATTCAGGAAGAGGCAGCTATATTTTTAGTTGCATACCAATTTTACTCAACCTGGTGATTCCCACCAGTTAGAATTCCAAAGTAAACAGGCTGAAAAGGATTTCTAGAATATTTAGTCCAAAATATCTAGAACACCTTTGAATGTTGAAGACCATCCATCCATCCAAAATGAAACTTAACTTTTTCAAGGCCATTGACTGCCAGACAGGTACAATCATGTTATTTTAGACAATCTATCATATTCCATGTTAGGATTTGTCTAGCAGGGAAATGGCATTCTTCCACCAAGAACAAGATTAAACAATCTTGTGAATGCCTGCAGACAGAGAGAAACTGGCTTTGGAAATACCCATGGAGATATAACAGCAATATTTGATATATGTAAATTGATAAAACATGATGACTGAGACAAACATTGAGACTTTCAATGTAACTTCATATTGATACTATTGAACCAACTACTATGCCTGCAGAAAAATACATGTGGAGCATAACTAAATGTCTGAGCTGTATTTTGAATTATAAATGGGTCCATAGCAAGATTGAATAGATGGAGCAGGATTCAAAATACAAGAATAACTTTTTGAAAAATAAGTCAATTTATTAAGTTTTGGGACTGAAGGCCATAACTCCATTGATAGATTGTATAAGGTCTTGCCAACTGATGTTATCAGCAGAACAGAAGACTTGGATTTATAGATTATTTAAAATACCATGGTTGAACGTATACAAAATGAGGCACTTCCTCAAAAAGAAAACTTAATTTATGAAAATCATAAAAAAGAAAACTGGAATATTTAGGACACATTATATACAAAGAGAAATATCGACTACTTCCACTAATTACGGAAGGGAAAATCAGGGGGAAATTATATCGGAAAATGATATGCATCCTAACAGAAAAGTCTTATTTTTATATTTGGACAAAAAAAGAAGTTGACTTATTTCTGTTAGTAAGATCAAAAGAGAAATAGAATTATGATCACTATATTCCATTGCTTTACTTCAAACAATTCCATTGTAGGCTTCAAAAGCCTACATCAGGCTTTTCCATTTGCCCAATACAGTTGTGTGAAGCTTTGAAAGGGTGTTTTGCATCAATAAAGGCTTGTGCAAATCATGCTTTGGAAGCAACTTTCCAAAGCAATGCCGTAACCTACCTCCAGTACTTCTTGGGGTTGTTGGGCAAGGATTCAGAATGATACACATTCCATTCTTGATAAGAATCATGCTATTTTGTGTTACCAACTATCTCAATGAACGATAATGCTCAAAATACTGGTGGCTGTTTGCATAGGAGGAAGACCTCTAATAGATCATTCCCTCACCCAGGGGTGGGTTTCTCGCCCCATTCCAACCGGTTCGGTTGGAACGGGGCCGCCGGCGTCCTCGTGCACGTGCACAGCGCACACATGCGTACTAGCATCTGTGCGATGC